AGAGGTGGGAAGGAAATGTTGGGGGGTAAAGACTTTGGATATGTGTTATTTAATAACAAAGAGGCATGAGGAATTTGTTGTTTATTTAATGAAAGATATGCATGCACCTCTCTTTTTTATACCCATTTTCATAATTGGGTACATGTTATATATGTATTTTTTTATGTTAGAATCAGGTTAAATCATGTATTGATAATGTAAAAAAGAAATTTTGATGTTAATGTGTTTGACTGTTTGCTAAGGAAATCAATAGGTGTGGCGCATTTAATGATATATAAAGGCGTATTTATCGTACCCTTTTTAGTGTGTGAAAGTGGGTTTTTCCTATAGTATGGGAATATACATTTAGATCAAAGCATATGCATCTTTTTTTTTTGTTAATTGTGGGTATTCGGTCTAGTTTGTGTGTAACTCGACTAATTTAAGGGAACCTGGAGGTATGAGTGTTCATGAGTTGGGTTGATCGGGTTGAAGACATTTGAACAACCCAACACAATGCTTGCGGTTTGAAAAATCTTAATCTAGCCTAACCCAAACCAAAGTGCAACCCAGCCTAACCCAAACCGTACGGGTTAATCGGGTTGGTCGGGCTGATACTTTGATACATTAAAATATTCTTCTAAACTTGAATATGTTATTTTTTACTCATAGTTTTTTGTTTATCATCAACCATTTGATACAACTTATTCTTACATAAGATATATGAATGAGTTGTATAGAGATGGAGAATAGGTTGAAAATATGTATATATGAAGAACGTACATGATAGTGTATATATTAATATAAACTCGACAATCATATTAATGCACAAGATCAATCCACGTATCAAACAAGAAATATAAGTGAGTTTGAGATTAAAGATGATCAAGAGCCCAGATCTCTTATCACGCTTCTCTCCTTAACTCTCATTCGTTATCTTTCTAGTTAATGAAAATTACCACATTTTTGTAACATGTTATATCCCATTAAAACCATATAAAAATGGACAAAATATGTGAAATTCAAATTTCTTCTTTTGGTAACTTGTTGAAGTGGATCTTCTTCACATTTATGACCATTTCTTGTGCATTCATTTAATAAATAAAAAAACTCATAAATTTCTAAAATGCCAATTCTACCCTTTTATATGTCTTAAAATTCAGTGATAAAAAGACAGAAAATTCAACGAAAAAACCTGTTAAATTAAATTACATTCAACATGATTTCTTGTTTTTATACAAAAAATAACCACTAAAATCATCTATAATTGTCGTATCTCCTATTTTATTCTATTTTAACGAACAAAATCAGTTATGTTACAACAAAACTAGAAAAGTAAGAATACGACGGTTAAAAAATAGATTATGTCTGAATAAGAATTATACAGTACCGTTTATAAATATATCTGTGTATAAACCAGCCATTTTGTAAAGTATACTGTTATTTGAAGTTTTAAATTTTATACATATTTTTCGTGTAATAAATAAGTGTATTTTAGTTAATATAAAGTCAGTAAAATGTCACATTCATGCCGTTTTTCAATTTTAAATATTTTCAAAATCAATCTTAAAGTTGACTAATTGAATATTATTATATGACATTACCCATAAATTTACATGCATGCATGCATATAGGCATGTAATTTAATATCATATATGTCTTGTAATTATTGTTTATTGACAAATAAATAAATTTAAATAAATTACAAGTATGGTATTTGATTGGTTTGAGTTTGCGTTCCAGAGATCAAAAATGTCTGGAGGTTACAAGTTCAAATTTAAGAAGAAATAAAAATGCTTTTATGGCTATAGGGGTTCAAATATGGTAACTTCGGGCTGCCTACAAAACAGGTGGTCCATCTGGATTAGTCGGCTCGTACATAACAAGTTGGATATTCAGGTTAATAAAACTTATTATTATTATTGTTTTCAAAATATTTAATGGTAAGTGAATGTCATGATATCAAATATTTATTGAATCACAAAACTTATGTATGAAATTACCGAAAAGACCCTAGGTGGGGTCCAAGAAGTAAATGTAGAAAGAGCAAGTGGGATCATATAATTGGAGAATCAAAAGAGGCAAATGTCTTGTGATTTTGCAATTTATGAAGCATACCTCTCTTGCTTGCTTGCCTTTCTCTTTAAGATGTCACATTCAAAAGTTATGAAAAAAATTCAAAAAAAAAAATGGGAATAAATTTTATTTTATTTAATATATAAGAAGTATATAAATTAGAAAATGGACAAAACACAAAAGTTTGTTCTTTTATTGTGGTGTATAATATCTGATTTTTGTCTCACAAATGGTATACATGTAGGACTCATTTGTACCTTATAATCAAAATCGCCCTTCAGGGACGATTCTGGTGGTCATTTTGTGAATTTTTTTTCTGAAAAATGGTAATTTTGTTAATGTACAGTTTAAGAAATGGTTATTTTGGGTAGGTTACGAGGGGATTTAAAAAAAGGGTTCATTTCACTCTCTTTAAATAAGACCAAGAGTCACTCGTTTCCTCAAGCACCGGAAAGAGAGAAGATCTGTTATTTGAATAGGGCGTGTAAGTCAACTATCTGTCTCTCTTTAAATGTACATTTTAAAAATATGTTCTTCAAAATAAAAGCAGATGAATAAGTTCTTTTTGATACCGTTTGCTTATTTTTTTTTTATACCATGTTTCAAACTCTAAGGTGACGTTTGTTTTCTAAGAGGTGCTGAAGTCTGATTTCACTTTTGATTTATAAAAGATGATCCTGAAATCTGGATCAGTAAGATTGTTTGTTTTTACGTCTGAAGTCCAAAATTTGAATCAGTCAAACTAGTGCAAAAATATAAAAGATAAATGCTTCTTTACAAAAATAAAAAAGATAATATTTTTTGGTAGCAAATCTCTTCCAACCCCCAAAATATGAATCGGATTAGGATTAAGAGGTATTAAGGGATACGTTTACCACCTAAAATTTCAGAGGACATTTAGAGCTTTTAAGCTCTTATTTTAAAAATAAAACAAACGCTCTTAATACCCAAACGTCTGAATGAATCAGACTTCAGAGTTATTAAAATGTAATTTTGAAAAAACAAACAGGGCCTAAATTTATTTCACTGTCTTTTTCCTTTTCTCAACCAGATAAGACTATACTGATTTATGGCCCACGGTAAGGGTCCCGATGCAATTAATGAATCCGTCCATAAAATATATCATTGCTTATAAATATCGGTTTAACACGAGACAATTATATTTGATATGGTTTACATGACAAATTACTGGGTTGTGAGTATCTCCAATGGAGGTTCTTTATAAGAACCTATTTTTATGTGTTTTTTTATTGTCATATCATTTCCAACTCATCGAATTAAGAACTTGAATAAAAGTTCACGATGATAGCTTTTATAAGAACCTCTTTTGCGGGTCCCATTTATTTTTTTTCAACATCAATAACTAATTACAAAATCAATAAGATATGTAATAAAAGTAACAAAATGTCAGTTCACACCAAGTTAAAGGTAAGAACCAAGGTTCATGTATAATAACTCAAAAGATACGAGGTTTTTTTAAGAACTTTCTCCAATAGTAATTCTTAACATCCCATTGTAACCCCAGAGGACTAAAAGTATACAGAGCAATTAAGGGTGTTTGGTTATAGGTATTAAACAATAATCAATGAGAATGAAAATAAAAGAAGCTGTTTGGTTTTCTATAATATAATGGGATCATTCCCCCATAAAACCCAAAGTTTCATTCCTGGCTAAAATAGAGGGAATGAAAATTAATTCTCATTTTCATTCTCTGTCATTTTTTATTTTCAATCTCATTTTCATTTCTCAGCATGAGCCAAACAGACCCTAAGTTAATTACATAATCAAAATAAACATCATTATGAACAACCGGATGTTAGGATACATACATACACAAACATATATATATATACACTATATTGTAAAGCATTTGACAAAAACTCTTAAAAACCGTTTTTTATGCATGAAGTACTGTTTATAGATGCATATTATTTAAAATTCAAGATTACAAGTAATTGTGCGTAAGTACAACTTATTAAAGCTCCATGTTTGAATTTGTGTAACTAACTGCGGATAAACATAATCAAATAGAGTATAAACATCTCATTTTAAAATTATAAAAAAATTAAAATATAATTATGATAATTATTGAGTTCTAACAAAATCATTATCTTTATAAAAAATTATTGTTACGTTAAAAATAAATTATTTCATTTTGATCTAAATTAAAGTATAATAAAAAAATTAAATTAAAGAAATTATACAAAAAAAACGAAAACTTTTAAATAGTTAATTTGATATTAATATCGATATACTTTTCATATTTTTATGATATCTTGAAATTTATTTTTATTCAAAAGTAAGAAGATTATCTTTCTCAAAACCACATAAATCATATTATATCAACAGAGACAAAAAATAAAACGATACAATAAAATGAAGATGTATCTCGTAGCATTGCGCGAATACCCTTCAAGTATATATATATATATATATATATATATATATATATATGGGTTGGTTCAAATATTAACCAAGATTTTTGTGTTAACTTTGTTAACCAAACTCAACCAATCATATTTCATCTTTTCTTTAGGTTCACATATAACTCATATATTAATGACAAGGGTAATTAAATAATTTGTCATTAAGTAACTCCCAAAGCATTAATTGGGAGTTACAAATCTAAAAATTTCAATAATTCATGATTATGTAATATTGATATTTTTTTATGTGTGTTCATATTTTGTAATTTCGATTTATTCTATCCATGATGATATTGATTTTGTAATTGTTAAAGAATTTCCGATTGTAAAGATTTCGATATCATCCGAGTAATATGGATAAACCAATTGGAAAACAGATCGACAACAATGAGAATGAAAAGGTTAAAATCGTCTACGACTACAATCGGAATTCGAATTCATATGTAATTGTTAAAGAATTGTTCACAAGTGTTCATATTGTGTTCATATGTACACTAGCTGCATATCTCAACATTGACTTGCTCCTGAATGTGTTCATAATGAATGAACTATTGTTCACAAACTGTTCATATTGTGTTCATACCTGTTTTTTTATTTATTTACTTTCGTGTAACAACTATTCTTGTTGTATTCATAAATGTTATACAATCTAAGTTCATATATATGTCAATTTTTGTTCGTATTTGACAAAATGGTTCGTATATATATATATATATATATATATATGTGTGTGTGTGTGTGTGTGTGTGTATGTGTGTGTGTGTGTGTTCATATGGTTCTTACATTAACAAAAATAAATTAATAAAAATAATGAGATTTTTTGATTTTGTAACTCTCAATTAATGATATGGGAGTTACATAAAAAATAAAATTACCTAAATACCATTTTCTCCTTTGTTCACATATGTTCTTTGAAATTGTAAATTCAAAAAATTATTTTTTTTATCATGATTAATCACAACCCTTTATTGTAAGAATCAATGGCCAAGATTAGTTAACAAAGTTAACACAAAAATCTTGGTTAGTATTTGAACCAAGCTCTCTCTCTCTCTCTCTCTCTCTATATATATATATATATATATATATAACCCAAAAGTAACTATACAAAAGTGAAGTCGTCTATAAAGTTATCCTCCAAAGTCCACTCCTAGTCTCTCAACTTGGATAATCCCATATCCTCTCTCTAGAACCTGCCACAAAAAACAAACATGGCTGAGTAATAACTCAATGAACAGATCAAAACCTACATTTTTTTTACTTATAAGAACCTTTCATCAAAGATGCTACAACCGTTCGAAAATATCAAATTTTGATCATTTGTTAACAATAATTTAGATTGTATCTTAAATTTTGACTTTGACAAGGTCAAAATTAAGCTTATAACCATCAAGAAAGTCAAAGGTATTTGCATGTGCATATGATGTCAAATGCCAAGACAAAGATCTTTTTGATTACCTTTCAGTTTAATTAATTATATTTTCCATTTTGTATAAATTATCCCTTTTTGTTTTAAATATTCTAAAAATATTTTTTATTTTTTAATAAATAAATTATATTTATTTTCTTTAATATAATAACAATTTGATCAAATGAAGATCAGTATTAATATAAAAAAATACCAGATATAAAATTATCTGCTAAAAACCAAATATCTCATTCAAAATTAAAATACAGTTTACAGTTGTTTGATTTGATTTCAGTTTTTTTAATAATAACCAGTAACAACATCTCCAATAAGTATGTTATATTTTTATTTTATTTTCTTTAAAATCTGAAGATTTCTCTTTTTACTTTTATTTTTATTTATTTTAGAGAAAAGTTTAATATAAATGTTGAAACAATTTTTTTTTTAAATTTTCAAAATTTTAAAATAACATAACTGTTGAAGATGTTTCAGTATTATAATATTCAAATTTCAATATTATGGATTATGCTAAATATCTATTAATCACTTGAAAACATAATATTTTTTTTATTAACCTGGATATCCAACCTGTTATGCGAGCTAACTAATTCCAGGACGACCACCTGCTTTGCAGATTGTCCGAAGTCACCGTATTTGAACCTTCGTGGCCACATGGGGGTTTTTATTCCTCCTTGGAGTTGAACCTGGGACTTCCTGATACTTTTGATCTTTGGAGTAAAGTTCAAACCAACCAGATACCATTTTTTTATTATTATTTTAATTTTTTAATTATTCATGATTGTGCATGATCACTTTTTTTAATTTAATGAGAAGTACAACTTCAATGCACAAAAGACAATTGAATCCAAACTCTGATTCACCAAATTTCTATGGAGATTCGTTCCATTTTTTTATAAAAAGTTAAAATTACATGAAAAAGTAACGTATTTTAATTTGATTTTTATTTTGGGTAACGTATTTTTAAAACTTTCATTTTATTATCTAAGTTGTAAAGTTTTAAACATTTAAGTATATGGGTGACCGGTTGAAGTATTAATCAATTATCATGCTGATGTGGTATCCAACTTAGTATTATTTGCTGACGTGGTTAGTGACATAGATTTTTTTTAATCTAAAGTTATTTTTTTTAATCTAAAATTAGTCTTCAACCGGATATTCAGATACTTAAATTATTTAAAACTTACATCTTAAGTATCAAAATGGAAGTTTTAAGAATACGTTACTCAAAATAGGAATAAAGTTAAAGTACGTTACTTTTTTATAAAACAGAAGTAAAAATCGATTATAATTTTTATTTGTATATAAAACTTGTTTAATTTTTAACAAAATTTTAGAAAAATATTTACAATATATATATATATATATATATATATATATATATATATGGTCGGGTTCACGTGAGACCAGCTTGTTTTCGTGAGACCCGTGAGACCACAGTTTTACACGTAAACTTCACAGCAAAAACACTGTGAAGGTTAAAAAAAGTCACCTTCACAACATTTTGCTGTGAAGTTTCAAGTGTAAAAAGTTGGTCTCACGAGTCTCACAAAAACACACTGGTATCACATGATCCCAAGTATATATATATATATATATATATATATATATATATATATATATATATCTTATTTTATACTATGTTTTGGAATAAGGGGTTGTTTACCTCTTAATAGTTCCATTAAACCGCAGCCTCTGAATTTTTAAGAGGTGAATCTCGTTTTGCAAAAAAAAAACCTTACCTCTTAATAGTTCCAAAACCTTCTGAATGATTTTGTATCATGAGCCTCCCTTAACCATTAACCGCCTTAATTTCGTTGTAAACAATTACCAAACAATTATATTTTATTTTACACTGTATCATGAGAGTCTCTTAATCATTCTAACCACTTAATCATTTTGCACCAAACCATTCAGCAACTTGCAAACAGCCCCTAATATACATCTATTGCAAAAGGTAAGTAATGGAACCGTGGAATTAACAAAACGAGAACAAATACAACTTTCATTGCTTAACGTACAAGTTAATACAGCATCGCTACCCGAAGACATTTACCAAATATACATCTAGTACCACAACCTTAAAATATCAAACTTCATCAAAATCATCATCAGAATCATCGTCATAACGCAGTCCATCATCGTAATCACCATCACCGTCGCTCCCCTCGACTCCCGAAATCTCGTCAAGTGTGTCCTGCGAATTCCAATCAGGTGGGAACGTTTTCTGAAGCGCTTCCGTAATATCTCCACCACCCCTTTCAATCTTGCGCAAACACCGTGCCCAGTGAACCGCAGTTCCCATATCGACCGTCAATCCCGACTCCACCATTTCCGCACAGATACGGTGAACACCCGAGTAAATGTAGTCTTCGGCAACCGAAGCTCGTGACAGCAATGACGTCATCAGACAATGATACACGGCTCGGTCCGGTTTCAATCCGGCCGACTTCATATCTTCAAAGCATCGTAAAGCCTTCTCGGGAAGCGAAGCACGCGCCCAGCCGTGAATTAACGTGGTGTATGTTTTCACATTCGGCTTCAATCCTGCTGATTCCATCTCTTTGATGGTTTTCGCTGCTCGCTGCACTCAAAATGCGAAACTAAGTCTCGTTGATGGTCCACAATACATGTAACATCGCTAATCATACCAAATATTGTCCACGTTGTCCACACACCAGGACCATGGTTTTAAAACGCGTCTTATAGAGGAGGTATCCAGTCCTTTATAAGGCAACCTTAGTTCCCCTCCCCAACCGACGTGGGATCTTACAATCCATCCCTCCCCCCGGATCCTGACGTCCTCGCTGGCACACCGGTCCGGACCTGCCTCTGATACCATCTAAAACATATCAGGCTAACCGTACCAGATATCGTGCGCATTGTCTACACACCTGGACAGACGCGTTTTGAAACTAAGTCCAGGTGTGTGGACAAAGCGGAGAATATTTGGTACGGTTAGCCTTGGATGTTACACAATACACAAAACAAAAAGAGGGATAATGACGAAGAAGACGTACAAGCATATCTCCCGCTTTGCAACAAGCATTCACCAAAGATGTGTAGGTACGGATGTCGGGTTGAACCCCTTCTTGCTTCATTTGTTGCATTAGATCAGCGGCTTCCCAAACATCACCCCTTCGAGCCCATCTACAAAAGAAACGAAGATTAGTTAAGAGTAAAAGGTAGGATAATCACGGAGAGGCCATTTTCTTGACTCGAACTGTGATTAAGTCCTGTATGGATAAAGTTGTCTGTGTGGATTAATCTGTCTATATAGATTGGGAAGGTTGTTTTTTCATAGATGGGATGAGCGTGTTTTTAATTGGGAGGGGCAGGTTTGGAAAAAAATTTGGCTTTCTGCATAAAGCTCCCACCTAGAAGTTTACTGAATAGCGACCACCAAACAGTCATATATAGCTGACCGAATAAGCAGTCTCATTAAGCTCATTAAGCTGCTAACAAGTGGTTGGTTTTCTATTAAGTCATGTATGGATAAAGTTGTTTGTGTGGATTAATGTCTGTATAGATTAAGAAGGCTTTTGTTTGGGAGAGTTTTGTCATAGATGGAAGGAGAGTGTTTTTTAATTGGAAGGAGCTGGTTTTAAAAATACTTGGCTTTTTGCATAAAGCTCTCCCCTAGAAGCTTACTAAATAAGTCACTTTCAATATCATCAACCCACTACGAAAAAGTCACGTATAGTTGACCGAATAAGCTGTGAGTCCCATTAAGCTCATTAAGCTGCTAACAAACAAGCCTTAAATAAAGTGTGATAATTAGTCAATATAATATACTCCATAAATTGTAAAAGAAGGCTGAATCAAATACATACCCGTCTATAAGTATGTTGTAAACAAACGTATTTCTCGGAATTTTCCGGGCATGCATTTCTTTGGTCACTGCTAACGCGCTTTGCATCCTCCCGGCTTTACAACATGCCTTGAGCAGCGCCTCGTATATGAACACGTCAAGATCTAATCCCTCGTTTTTAACTTTGGAGAAGTACTCGAATGCTTTTCCGGTATCACCCAATGATGCATAACCGTGCATGATTGTGGTGTACGTGTGCTCGTTTGGGCTAACACCCGCCAGCAACATTTCATCTAATATTTTTACAGCCCTTTCCATCTGTGAAAAATAGAAACTTTATCAATTTACAAGGCTACCAATGAGGTGCATTTGGTACACAGATGAGACAAGACGAGACAGACGAGAGTGAGGCAAACTGGTGAAAGAATTGTGAAAGGTTTTAAAGTTTTAAACTGACATGGGCAGTTAAGTAATTTACCAATCTAGTCTTTTCCTGATTTTTGTTCGGGAAATTGACAGAAATTGTCAATCCATCCAATTGAATTCACTTTGTAGCCACTTCTTAAAGCAAATTCTCAAATTATACTAACTAAAATACATAAAAAATACATTACTATTTCTACAAATTATATCATTATAATCGTCTCGTCAATACCTTCAAAATGAGCTCAATATTGAATATTTTTAGATTTTATTAAATATCACAAATACGTATGAATTATTTTTAATACTTACACTTTATACCTTTATAGTTACAAATTAAATTGCTAATTATAAGAGTTAGGGCATAAAGTGTAATTAAATAACCATATTTATGCAAATGGTTATGCATTTGTGTAAATCCTATTTTTTTAATTCGAAAAAGGTGGTTTACGCAGATGCGTAATCCATTCACGTAAATTGTGGATTTGTGGCTATTTTGGGAATTTGCTTCAAAAAGCGGCTCTAAAATGAATTCAATTGGATGGATTGGCTATTTCCGTCAATTTCCCTTTTTGTTCCACCTATTTTCGGTGGGACAAAAAAACACCCGGTCATATTGCCCGAATGTGGGGACACCAAGTTTTTGTTTTGTGTTGTCTTGTGTCCCAAACGCACAAGAAAGTGAGTACCCATTTTCACATTTTACAAGTTCAAAAACTCGGACTAATTCAACTTCTTAAGCGTAAACATACCTGGCGTTTCTCGACTAGACCAAGAATTAGAGCGTTGAAAGTGTGGACAGTCGGGATGCATCCACTCATTCTCATCATATTAAACACTTCAAGAGCTCTTCTAGCTTCTCCAGCTCTTGCATAACCATGAATGATGGGCATAAACGTTCGTGAAGTCGGCTTATGTCTCGCTCTTTGCATTTCCTCGACCATACGAATTGCACGATCCCTGTTTCCCATCCCACAAAATGCCCGAATAATGTTATTATAAAGCACAACATCGGGCTTTAAACCATCTTTCACCACATCTTCGAATATTGCAAATGCATTAGCCCAATCTTTCAACTTTATAAACCCGTTAATTAACATTGAATATGTCTTCATGTTATGCTTTATGCCATCGGATTTCATCGTTTCGCTCACCTCCAATGCTTTCGAAACTTTTCCCATCTGAAGAAAATCATAAGTCACCTTATAAGAATAGTTTAGCTACATGAGTCGTAAATACGGCTAGCCAGCTTTTCAAAACTTTATCTTATCTGACTTTCTCTCTTTGTCACACTTTTCATAAGTCGGGGATCTTTACAGAAACGACTCTACTCTTTCGGTAGAGGTCAGATCTACATTAGAGATGCACAAAAAAGTCCAAGCCCGGCCTGAAAAATCCCGGGTCTAGTGAGCCTGAATCACAGTCAATATCAGATCAGGCCGAAATTTTGGGGGAGGCCCGAGCCAGGCCTTTTTTTCGCTCACTGAAAACGGGCTTGGAAGGCCCGGGCCCCGGGCTGAAAAAGAGTGGGCTTTGTGCATCTCTAGTTTGCGTACATAGCCCTCCCAGACCCCACCTTCGAGTGGAATATACTGGGCCTGTTTGGTTTGGTTTTTAGTCGTCAATATGCTAGCAAGCCTACAAAGGCAAAAAGAACACGATATCATAGACACACGGGATTTGAAGTTACCTTGGTGTAAAGATTAATAAGACATCCATAAGTGATTACTGATGGTGTAAAGCCGCATTCCTATGACAAATTCGAACGTTAGCGTATTGGAAGAGATAAAAAGGATTCAAGTGGAAACATTGAACGATTAGTATGATATTTAATCACATGACAGTTGATATCCATATATATATATGGTCAGGTTAAGGGGAAAATTTGGAAAACATGGGAACACCCTAATAATCATTCATCTATAAGGTATGCACACGTGAATAAAAGTAGTTTGTCTAGTTGTATGCACATATGCATAAAATGCACAAGTGCATAGAAACCAGGAAATGTTTTCAGTTGCTTTTATGCACATGTGCATGCCATACAAATGAATAGTTATTAAGGTGTTCCTCAGTTTTCCATTTTTTGTGGTTTTCCATTCAAATAGAGTCTCTCCCTCTCTCTCTCTCTCTCTGTGTGTCTGTGTGTCTGTGTATATATATATATATATATAAGTATATGAATATAGATAGAATGAGATGTTGGCAATTTGGCATAGGTCCTGATGGTGTCTCCTCCCATGGCCCACATTTGTAAATTACATCTTTACAACATGCTTTCCAAGTAACTCCATCTACGATGGACAAGTTTCTACCCAAAGGGATGAAAAAAATCTCAAAGTAATCAAAGAATATATATCTGCTTAAATAACATGTTTTATAAGCCCTACTTCAACATAAAAGAAACTGTAAAAAGAAAACTTTACCTTAAGCCTCTTAAATACCACGAGACATTTATCTTCGTTCTTAATCATTGTATAACCATCCATCATCGTGTGGTAAATATCCATCGTAGCATCAATGCCCTCTTCCTCCATCTCCCTCACCAAGGCTTCGGCACGCTCCATGTTGAAGGTTTGGCTGTATTTTCGGTGTTAAAAAGAGTAATGCCATGAAAATCATAGTAGTATCACGTTGACCTATCAAGTTAGAAGATATACAAAAGATTTTACAACAATTTGAAAAAGGGTGATCAACTTGTCATCTTTTTTGAATAGGGCAAAATGCATCAAAATGCAATAAAGATTGGTTTACTTCCTATTTATCGTAACGAAATTTTTCTCTCATTCAATGTAACAAAGTTTCAAGATTTCCTATTTTGTACCCATTTGACCGGTAACCTCCTGATCTTGTAACATTCAATGACGTGGATGCCCGTTTACGAAAGGTTTACAACAAGTTTAGGAAGGAGTTACGACGAAGTGGACAATGAACTTGACACCCAAATCATCAAATGTCAAGAGTTTAGTAGGTCATCGGTATAAATGGGTACAGAATAGGAACTTTTGAAACTTTGTTACATTAAATAGGAAATTTTGTACACGAAAGAAAATTGTTACACTAAATAGGAACTATGGCAGACTTTGTTGTATTTTACCCTTTCGAGTACTATAGTGATTGACATTTTTTGACCCAACTAGCCCAACAGTGCAAATAAGGCAACAAGCACTAGTAAATTACTAAATTACTCCTAGGCCAACCCCTTGAGGTTATCAACTTGTCGTCTAAAGAGCCAAAAAGAACAAGATTATGTAGTTCTCGTAGTTTCTAAGACTCGTCCAAGCGTATAAGAAAGTATTTTTCACTCAAAAATATACACAAAAAGAAATACTTACCAATGAGCATAAATTATGTTTCCGTATATAATGGCATTTAGAGTTGTTTGTGTCTCTTTGGCCTCCTTGAACCACTTATCTGCAGCACTTCCAAAGGGAAAAATTGGAACAATAAACTTATGCACAATTGAAAAAATTGAGCATATTGAAAATTCATGCAACCATCGACTGTTTACTCCACATAATATATGCATCTATGTGTATGTATGTGTCAGTTTGTGTATATACATATATATAGAGGGAATATAGAAGGAGGAGTTTCAGAGGAAACCCCCAAAAAAAGAAAAATTTAGGAACACCTTGGTAACCTATTCATTTGGACGGTATGCACATGTGCGTACAAGTAATTGAAGTTGTTTCTTGGTTTTAATGCACATGTGCATACCGAACAAATTGCTTACAGATTACTTGTATGCACATGTGCATATGTCCGGATGAACGATTACCAGGGTGTTCCTCAGTTTTTCATTTTTTTGCGGTTTTTCCATGAACCGGACCATATGTGTGTGTGAGAGAGAGAGAGAGAGAGAGACTGTGTGTGTGTGTGTGTGTTTTACTTACTTTACATCACCAACTTTAGCAAATCCTCCCACAAGAATACTGTATGTCACCAAACTCATTTCAATCCCCTCGTCTTTCATTTTCCTTACACAAGAAAGTGCCTCCTCCATATCTCTACCTACTGCATAAGCGTGAATTAGGCTGCATAAAATAAGTTATTTTAATGCTGGAAAATGGACAAAAAGAAACGATAAGCAAAACCTAAAATCCAACTAGTAATAGCTTCTTCTTTGGTAAGTGGATAGTTTTATCCTCCAATAGCAAGTTTACAAAAGCTTTAAATAGTCGATACAATACTCCATGCACGGCCAACTGAAATTCATATTTACAACCTTCATTTAAAATATGTATATATATATGTATTATTTGTAATGTGTTATTTTTTCAAAGAAAGAGAAACACGCAACATTGAGTCCCCACCATCGGTGGCAACTAGTGAAATGCAACTTCCCAAAAAGAAATCAAAGAGGAAAATTTTGAGGTCAATATAGCAGGGACAACCATTAGCGGTAGCTTGACTAGTCAGCCTCTGGGTTTGCCCCCATAGCGATTCAAGTCAATTCGAGCCCCCTCATGGCCACTAGAGATTTACCCGGTTGTTAACTTCTGGGGCCCATGGGATTAGTCGAGGTGGGCGTAAGCTGGCCCAGACACCCAAGGTTATCATATATGTTATATATATATATATATATATGTGTGTGTGTGTGTGTGTGTGTAATAGTAGGGTTTGTTACCTAGTAAATACATGTGAGCTTGGCTCAATTCCCCTGGCCCGCATGCTCTCAAAAGTTTCTCGTGCACGATGCATGTCCCCTCGCCTTGCATAATAGTTAACCATAAGTCCAAACTCTTTCCTGGAAGGCTACAACAGTTGACTTTTAGAAAAAGACTTGAGTTTATGAAGTGCAGAAAGAAGGTTCTTGGTGTTCACTTCATCATTCTGACAATTAAACATGCTTTTAGGCAAGTAATCAAAACACACACACCAATTTAGATACATGCACACACGCACATTCGTATATATAGGAGCAGGTTCTGTTAGGAACCTAAAATTGATTAGGAACCGGGGGATAGCCACAAGGCAACATGTGGCATATTCATTAGGAATATGGATGTGTTATTCATCATGAACAAGACCTCCATATTCATCATGAACGTGTGATTCATAATGAATAACACCTCCGGAGTCATGAATGTGATATTCATGATGAATTTATCCTGAAGAGAGACACGTGACGCTATGTGGGTGGTTCCTAGGTTCCTAATCAATTTTGGGTTCCTAACGAAACTTCCCTCTATATATAGAGAGAGAGGGAGGTTCACTTAGGATCCTTAAATATTTTAGAGGGAGGATCAAATGAGAACGTGGTCAAAAACTCAAAATAAGAAAACACGAAAAATGGCCAAAACTCGTGATTTTGCACTAAAATCACAAGCGATTACGGAACACAGTCAATTGCAAGGGATGAATGGGTGACTTGGCACGTGACCTTATGTCGCAGCCAAAGTCGCATGAATTACATGTGACTTTACATGTGATTCTAGAGTAAAATCACATGTAATTTGGCCTTTCTCGTGTTCTCTTATTTGGTAACTTTCTCTCTCTCTCTCTCTCTCTCTCTCTATATATATATATATATACACACACACACACATGGGAGTTTATGCAATAATGCTACACATATTATGACTTCATAAAGAGTGAAAACTGTATCAGAATCCAATATGCATCTCTAACGGTAAATCATGAGAGCCATATCAATATCTAAGGGTCGGTTGTGCTAAAAACTAGACTCACAGTGTGTAGAAGATGGAATCTAAATATCATATATCACATAAATATACATATATATGGGTCGATGGAGGATCATGCGAGAAGTCATTCAATTTGCAAGAATTGCGAGAAGGGTCATATCCATGTGATTATAGAGTAAAATCACATGTGATTATATGTAATTTTCCCCTTCTTGTTTTGAAACTGCCTCTATATGGGTAATTACACCCAAAAAAATGGAAGCAAACAATCAACATATCCAACTAAAGCTAACAATTAAAATCTCTTTGGCATTCATGTTATGTTTCTTGTTATTAACAAAACCAATATAACTACCTTCTTGATCCTTTGAAAAGCTCCCACAACTGCCTGCCAATTCTCTGGTTGAGTTTCCAGCACCTTCTTAAGCTCTCTTCGTGAACCCTCCCTCTCTTCTTCCCATTTCGACTTATAATCTACACTCTCATCCCCTTCAATCCACCTAGCCCTCTCCACAGACTTCTCCTTCCTTCTCCTCCCATCATCAAACTTCACAGTTAACACCCTCCCATGAAACTCCATACCATCAAACTCCACTGCCTTCATTGCCGACTTTTCAGCCGTTGAACCACCATATATTACAAACCCAAATCCCATGTTTCTTTCTGTATCATTGTAACCCTTTATCAATATCACATTCTTTATTGGTCCAAATTGCCTAAAGAATTCAGTAAGTTCGTTCTTCTTTATCCACAGTGGAAGATTCCCCACAAAGATTTTCCCCTTTTCTCTGTACTCACTTCGCTTGGATCCGAAATCACCTGACCTATCCAAATTACTATTCTCAAATTCATTCAAATCAGTTTCGGATAGGGAAGAATCCGGTGGTGGTGGTGGTGGTGGTGGTGGTGGGGGAGAAAGTTTGCTGGTTAACCAGAGCTTTTCTGTTAGGGTCTGTGAGTTATTATCAATTGGGTTTCTTTTAGGGGTGGGATTGAGGAGGGTTTGAAGGGGATTTGTGATGTGGGTTTTTGGTTTTGGAGGGTGAGGATTGATGGGGGAATTGGCGATTGGTTTGAAGGGTTTGTTATTAGTGGGACGGCGGATGGAGGAGGAGGAAGAGGTGGTGCTGGGGTTCTCGGAGTCGTGGCAGCAAGTGGTGATGGAGTAGAACGGAAGAGTGGTGGCGGAAATGGAGTATGGTTTGCCGGAAAATGTAGAACAATAGTGTGGGGTGGATGAAGCAAGGGAAAAGTTATCCATGATAAATGGAAATGGTGATGGAGCGTGTAGTGAATCAGACGGCGGAGGATGGTGGAGAAATTACGACCTGTAGCGGTTGTTCCGGCGAAAAAGAGTAGCAAGGTCCGTTTCCATGGTGTTGATGACTATGGGCTTATCTTCTTACCGAACAACTTATCTGCAACCACCGGTGGCAGAAGGGTGGGGCGGGTTCCAAACCCATAAAATGGGTTGGGTTTTTAGTTGGGGGTTATCAATTTAGGGTTTGTAAAAACCCAACCGGATATGAAAATCAAGTCACGGTTTTTTTACTTCGGATTTTGGATTGTTTTGTTTCCATTTGATCGGGTTCGGGGTTAGTTATAATGCAAAATATATATATATATATATATATATATATATATATATATTCAATCAATTTAAAATACTGATAAATCGATATTATGCTTAAAATGAAAAGTAAAAACACTGATTAGGATTTTTAGAATTTTTAAAAGATAATTAAATAAATAAATATATTCATAGGGGGTGTTTGGGATTGCTTATTTTAAGTGTTTTTTGACTTATTTCAGTCTGGCACCGGTGGTAAGCTAAATGCTAGTGTTTGAATAAGAAAAAATAAAACTGCTTATACCGGTGCCAAACCGATAATAAGTAGTTTTTGTTAAGTTATTCCTTTTTGGCTTATGAAAAACTGTTTATTATCAGTTTACCATTTGAACTCTATTTTATTAATGTTTGTTAATTATTAATCTTATTGATATAAATTTTTGTCAATAATATTATTATAAATGATGAAAAACAAATTTTTACATGTTAAAAATTAATTAAGTTAATAAGCAATCTCAAACACTCCCGTAAGTCAATAGTATGGAAGATTGATTTTTTTGGTCATTTTACATATATAAGCAAAATTTGTCAAACACTAAAAAATAACTTATCGGCTTATTGCTTTTTGGTACCGCTATAAGCTAATCCAAACACTTTTTACAAAACTCCGGTTTAATAACACATAAGTTAATAAGCACTTTTACAACAAAACATAAGTTGTTTTAAAGCATAGTAAAATATAGGGTCATGTACCGATGAGAAATGTAAGAAGATATCTCCACTCTTGTATGCACATTATGATGAGATGCACCGAATCAATTCTCATATCAAGCGATATTTATGGGTGGGTTTGATAAATTCCCATATCAAGCGATATTCATGGGTGGGTTTGAGAAATTCCCGTATCAAACGATATTCATAGGTGGTTTTGAGATTAAAAGTGATCAAAGCCAAGGTCATATCCCTTCTTATGCTTCTCACTTTAACTATTTTTTCACACGATTCTTCGTCTTAAAATACATATGTATATGTATTTCGAGTTTTTCAGACGGATCAGGTGGCTAAAAATCAAAACCGTCCGAGTCCAATTCCCCCCCCCCCCCCAAAAGTCGGTTTTTAGGGTTTTCGGACCATTCGTGTTTTGCACATCCTTATTTATCATCTCAAATGGCAACACCGCCAAAAAAGTACATTGTACCCCTCTTATTGTTTTTTTCTCACAATATATAGTTAAGAAAAAACAACAAATCAAACACTTCGTAAGGCAATTTTCTTACGGTTACTGACAAATCTAACACATCCAGTAAAGAAGTTGGTTGGTCTGCGCTGTTTATTTATTATTAGAACATACATTTCTTCACTTATAATTAGCTATTTTTTTTATATCTCAATCTTGAGCCTTTTATTATCGTATTTCCCATTTATTATTTTATGGAGCTACAGTTATGGTTTACCTGTATCAAAACAATGGAAGGCTTACTTAATCTTTTAGACGGGCTGTTAATGTTGTGACGTATGCTACAGCAGAAGCGAAGCTTGGAAAATAAGAGCTTGAAACGTAGAGACCAGGGGATATGATGCCTTGATGATCTGTAAATAAAAATATATAGAAGAAAGGCATAATGACCAAAACACCCTTACGTGACTAGCATGTTAGGTACTTAACGGAAGAAAACTACTGGGCGTTAGGGTTGGGTTCGGAATATGTAACGAAATGCAAATCAAAGAATGTCGGGTGTAATTTCAAAAGTCGAGTGACGTAAAACCCTCTGAATGATTTTGTATCATGAGTCTTCCTTAACCATTCAATGCATTAATTTCGTTGTAAATAATTACCAAACAATTATATTATATTTTATACTATGTCATGAGAGTCTCTTAATCATTTTGTACCAAATCATTCAACATCTGCCGAACAACCCCTAAGAAGGGATTTGGACCACTGATCATTCTTAGGGGATGTTTGGGATTATTTATTTAAAACAACTTATGTTTTTTTTGTAAAAGTGCTTATTAACTTACGTGGCATCAAATCGGAGTCAAATAAAACATGGTTAAAATTGTAAATTGATAATAAACAGTTTTTCATAAGTTATGAAGAATTAACTTATCAAAAACAGCTTATTACCGGTTTGACACCGGTATAAATAGTTTTTTTCTTATCCAAACACCAGAAAACAGCTTATCACCAGTGTCAGACTAAAATAAGTTAAAAAACAACTTTTATAAGCAATCTCAAACACCCCCTTAATCTCAAAACAACCCACAAATTGCACTTTAGAAAAACCTGACTTGTTGTAACTCATTGGTGCTGATCTAATGTTTATCTTCAATTATGATTAATCCAATGTTGATGATTCTTTCTTACCATTCTTACCATAATTTTTATTCTCATATGAACCCAACCTTTTAAAAATACGACCTCAAAAACCAGTTTTTAATTAAATCTATAACTCTCACTAATTACCAAAAAAACCTACTTTTGTAAAGGTAATCAAATTTAAGAGTAAATTATGTTTTTAGTCCTTATGGTATGTTAAAAATTCCAGATTTTGTCCTTATGGTTTGGAAATTTCGATTTTAATCCTTATAGTTTGTAATTCATTTCTATTTTCGTCCTTAAGGCTAAAACACTACTTTTAAGTATGAAAGATTAAAATAGAATTGAATTGTAAACCGTAGGGATGAAAAAACATAAATTTTAAATCATAAAAAAAATAAATAATGAATTATAAACCATAAAGATGAAAATCATAATTTCAAAAAATAGAAACTTTTAACAAATAGTTTAGGAACTATTTGTTTACATCTTAATACTTCTATTAAGAAAGAATCTCTAAATCGTTAAAAGGTGAATCTTGTTGGGAAAAAAAAGTATGTCTCTTAATTGTTCTAAAATTCTCTGAATGATTTTGTATCATGGGTTCCCCTTATCCATTCAGCGTCCTAGTTTCATTGTAAATAATTACCAAATAATTATATTTTATTTTACACTATATCATGAAAGTCTTTTAATCATTCTGGCCACTTAATCATTCTGCAACTGCCAAACAGTACCCACAATTTAATTAAAATATCATCTAAATTATATGCCTAAAGATCCCCTATTATTAGAATATCATTTCAATTATATGCCTAAAAATCCCCTAATTTGAGTTTGATTCTCAATAACTCGGAACAAACATGGATTTGAAAATTGGCTACGAAAAGGCGGGAGGAGTTCTTTCACCGGCTCCATATGATTCTACAATGGCTGCCCACTGAAATCCATAAAGAAATACGATAAGTTCTACTTCAATTTCTTCTACGTGTACTCGTCACAATTGTGGATCAAAATCTGCTCTAGATTATCTTTGTTAGCATTCTTATGTCAAAACCCTAATCGATCAACAATGGATAGAGTAGCGTGCCCCGAAAATGTGGACCCAAATGCTGTTTGGCCAATTTATGGAAGGGTTTGAATCGCTCTGCTGATAGGGGGCATCAATTTTATTGAAACCCTTGCAATCGTTTATCGAACTGCGAATGACACAAGCCTCTGTTGCTGCTTCTTCTCACAACTAACAAGGTGAATCTTCTGGTGAAAGCCCTAATTTTGTGCGATAGTTCCCTTTCATTCTTCTCGATGCTGTTTATGTTGTGCCTACTTTTTTTGAAGTAATATTTATACAGGTGAGGTTTAAATCTTGATTTCTATTCCTTATTAGCAACCCTGGTTCTGATTTGCTCTTTTGGTTCTCGTCGTTGTTCTTCACGGATCGTAAAAATGAGTTTATTTAAGGTTTTCTTGTGGGAATTGAATTGGGTTATTCATGAGTTTGGAAACCCAGAAAGGAATTGTTATGCCGTGTAAGTCAAATCTGAAATCAACTTCAGATGGGAATTTCATCACTTGAGATTAGGAGAAATTTAAATATCGTGCTCTCCATTTTTGCTGCAGTTGAGATTGCAGGTTTGAAAGAAGTGAAACCTACCTCCCATCCCTGTTTTGAAGTCTAATATACATATACATACATACATATATATATACATATATATATATATATATATATATATATATATATATATATACAAATGTGTGCATGGACCCTCAAAATTTTTCTACAAAAACAAACCCTCTTGAGTTCCATCCAATTCAATACCACAAACTAAACTAAATTTAAGCCTGAATCTTCACTTGTTTAGGTCCATGTTCCTGGATCAACAAACAAACACTTTTCTTCTCCTCAGAATCATGCTTATTCTGATACATAGGGTTTGATGTCCCAAATTGTCACTGATGTTATGTTTGTAATTTATATTTGCAATGTGATATATATATATATATATAATGCTTATTCTGATACATAGGGTTTGATGTCCCAAATTGTCACTGATGTTATGTTTGTAATTTATATTTGCAATGTGATATATATATATATATATATATATATATTGTAAATTTGTAATTTATATTTGCAAAATGATATACTTGCAAAGTAATTTATTAATTCAGAACACTTGTCAAACAATCATATTTCATTCAAGACGAAATCGTAAAGAGGGTTAGAAATGGTTAATTTTTTTGTCATCCATACTGTTTATTTAGAACGCTTATTAAACAACAATATTTCATAATGTGCTAAATCATACGAAGTTTATTAATCATTTTGCAGCAAATCATATAGCATCTATCAAACGGCCTCTAAATTGATCAAGTATGGATAGAGTAGTGTGCTCCGAAAATGTGGAGCTTGTGGAGTTCATGTTGAAAAAGCAAAAGGAAATGGAGGATACACCCAAAGGAATTTCAGAGAGCAACGCTATGACGTTATTGAAGGCCTCCAAGAACGTATGCAGTTCCAAGACCCCAATCAAAACCCTCAAGGACTTCTCCAAAGTCAAGTAACGTTTTTTTACCGTCTAAAGTGTTGTGACATTTGTCGTAAATTTGAAGTTTCTTTTGAATAATTGTATGTTTTAGGAGTTATCGTGTACTACACTGTTGTAGAACAGTGGTAATTACATTTCACTTCATAACATCCACAACAATATAATAAATTTGTTGTAGCATGAAGGCCCTCAAATAAAACCATCCAATTCAACAAATGCCGGAGGGCTTGACGACAAAAATGACATAATTTTGGCTTAAATTTACTTCAAAACACTCCAGTTCATTTGAATTTACAAGCCTTAAGCCCTTAACATCCAAATTCAAAATTTAGCTGTTTTTATTTTATTTATTATTATCCAAAGTAATACATCAGGAGTAGTACTTGATAGGATCATTGCATAAGAATTAGGAACACAATGCTTCAACCATTTGTATGTTATTGGTTACTCTTAGCCAGCTTTTCAAAAACCAACTGATTTGAATCATTCACCACAGCACTGATTGACATGTGATTTTACTCTATAATCATATGTGATGTTACCCTTAAATGGGAGTTCGGTCTCTGTACTGTTGTATTAGTCAACTGGACTGAATTCATATAGGCATGGGCTGATCCACTAAGGAAGGAGCAGTGGCTCATGCCACCATTGATTACATTACACTACGACCCTTAACTGTGCTACCACTGTGATTCGTTTTTGTGCTACCACTGGGCATTGTCACAGGAAAACTAGAAGGCTACAGTAACATATCGAAACTTAGATTTGAGTTTTAATGGTTAACAATGGTGGAACACAAAATCCTCAACTGTAATTCGTTGATATTGGAGTAATTATAATTAATTTATACATCGTTTTATATTAAGCTAATTTATGGATCTTGCTTCTCTTGTCAAGATGAATGCATTTCACTTTATTTCTTGCAATATGGTGCTCCTCTGCTAAGGAAATGAAAAGACATATTTTTAGGAAAATAAAATTGCAATAAAGTGCAATTATTAACTATATAACCCATAACAATATGGTAGCATGTAGTATTGTTGATACTTTTTTTTTGTTTTGATTAACCTGGATATCCAACCTGCTATGCGAGCCGACTAATCCCAGGGGGACCACTCGCTGAGTCACCGCCATTTGAACCTCCGTGGCCACAAGGGGATTTTTATTCCTCCTTGGATCCGAACCTGGGACCTCCTGGCACTTTTGACCTTCGGAGCCCAAACTCAAACCAATCGGGCATTACCCTTGTGTTTTCGCTTAAAGAACTTCTATGGTGTTTTTGGTTAATGAGAAGCGTGGCTTTATTAGCACAGCCGGATTCTTCTAGTATGAACATTCTTTTGTTTTCATTGTGCCAGAGGTGTTGGAAAGTGGATTTTGAGACTCATGAAAGATTTCTTTAATACTGATTCTGATGCTGCTGAGAATGAAGGGATGATACAAAGGGGTAAATCCTCTCTGGATTCACACTTTGTTTATACCGTCTTCTCGAATTTGGGAGAAGAGAAAAGAAAAGAAAAGAAATGGATGGAAAAGGAAGGGAAGGAAATTATTTGTGTTCTCGAAAAAGAAGGAAAAGAAAGAAAATAATTTTTCTTCTTCTTGAACAGGAGAGAGAGACAAAGAAAGATGTCATTTTTACAAATATACCCTTTCAAAATATATCCTTTATAATGAAAGGTTGGGTAGTTTTGTAATTTTAATGATCTTTTTTAAGGGTTTTAATTTCTTTCTTTCCTTTCCTTCCACATTTGGAAAGAAAGTTTTGGGAGGAAACTTATCATTATTTTCCTTCTGTTTCCTTTCCTTTCTCTCCTAATTTTTTTTTTGAGAACACGAGTTTTTTACTTTCCTCCCTTCTCCCTCCCTTTCCTTCATTTCCTTCGTAAAAAAGGTTTATAGAACATGCCCTTAGTGACCTTGGAGTTACTGATTGCTTTCATTATCATCAATCTTTATCTGTTTAATGCTACAGGTGGGAGAAATAAGGGAAACACGCAATATGTGCCTCAGAAGAACTCTGTGGCGTATGCTTTATTGATCACTCTTTACAGGTAAATAGGATACATTGTAGATTTTGACCTCAACCATATCCTTTTCCTTCTTCTTTTTTTGTGTTACTTACGGTTTAATAATAACATCTTGAGGGTTTTTTTGATGCTAGGGGAATTGCTAATGGAAACGATTTTATGCGAAAACAAGAGCTAATTGACGCTGCTGAAGCAAGTGGCCTGTCTCGCTCACCTATAATGTATGTCTTCTCATTTTTCAGCTTTTATGTACCTGAAGTAAATGATGGTGTCTTGTTATGGTGTTTTATTTTTACAGGCCTACAGCAGGAAAAGGGAAACCGGGTCAGTTTGGAGTTAGTTCAGACAGGGATTGGTACAGCGGATGGAGTTGCATGAAAAAGTTGATAGACAAAGGGCTGGCTGTAAAATCAAGCTGCCCTGCAAAGTAATTGCATTTTGGCTTACTGCTTCTTGTTTACTATTGTCTTTTTATTTTTCGCTCAGATGGCAATGATCTTTCAGTTACTGTGTGTTTTGCTTCAATTTTGATTTACATTACTCGCCCTCCAATATACTCTTCTTTTGTTGACATCAATCAAAATGTTGAAGTCTCAGTTTCCTCTACTCTTTTTTTTCACCTTGAAACCGAATATAACTTGCGATTGTAATTCCTTTAAGCCTAGGTTGTCTTCATTGTAAATCAATGAAACGTCATACTTAGAAGTCCTATGGACGCTTCCATGTGAAAGATAAGTATCGGAGATCAAATAATCATTCTTTTTTGGCTTTTTATAAATCATTTGAGTAAAGCAGCTTGTGGGGTTTTGAAATGGATGAAATTTGATCATAATGAACCATTTTTATTGAAAAAGATTACTTATAAACAAGTCAAGAGATTGATAATGAGTCCTCAAAGCTTGTTGGTTATATAGCATCTTTGTGTCAAGGATGATAAGTTGAACCCAACATCTTACCCTTACTTTTGGAATCTTTTATTTCAGGTACATGCTGACTGAGCAAGGAAAAGAAGCTGCACGCGATTGTCTGTTGAGATCTGGATTGGTTGATCCTGTAGAGGATCTTACTACTGGGGATAAAACTTTGGATTTAAACCTGCACAACATGAAAGATCCAGTGTGCACTCATGCTAGGTCGGTGGAAGATGTGACATCTCAGCATACATCTTCAAGTTGTCAGAAAAAATCAGTCGAGATTCCTCCTGATACTCTTAATAAGGTAAACTAAGTATTGTGTGTTTGAAACAGTTCCAGATATTACTTTTCTCTTCATCCAAGTTAGCATTTGGGGGTCTTGGAAATTGGGTTGCCAATTTTTGGACCCAGTGGAATGCTATCGTGTTCAGCTCAGCTTGTTTCAACAAATTAAATGATCACATTCCAATCAGAAGTTAAAAGCTTTGAACAGCTGATGAGAAAAGACACATTACATAACGTAAGATGTAGAGTTATATATTTGCACATATTAATCTTCTGCACATTGCTTCATAGGGGGTTATTATTTGTCATTTACTGTATGCAAGTCCTAGTGTGAGGGAAGATCATGCTCTGTAGGAAAAAAATGAGTAGCAGGTCAAGTAGAAGGCCAACTCACTCACATGATCTTTCCCACACAAAATACACACACAAAAACACGAAGCTATCTGCAGGTTCCACACACACACACACTCTCTCTCTCTCTCTCCTTGTACACTTTTTGATTCATATTATTTTATCATTTCCTCTCACCGTAAACACAACCATTTTCATTTTTATCTCCCACAAGCACAGAACTGTTGCTCTTTTATATGGACTGCTGTTACTAAACATGTCTCTCTTATATTTAAATAAGCTGAGCTAGCATGACATTTCGTATGAGCTCTTGGCTAGTGTCCAAAACAAAACCATATCAAGGCCTTTACATGTTTCTGCCTAAATGTTTGATAGGGTATGGATCAGTTGTCTGAAGTCCCACTTGAAAACTTTAGAGCTTTTTTGAAATGTGGTTTTAAAATGTGAGGGATGTATGATAATATTTCAGTCTCAAAATACTTGCTCAAATATTGGAGTTTGGATTGGGACCGGAGCTTAACCATTTTTATGTTTTTACTCTTGGGTAGTTAGGTGGGTCTTAGAATGAAACTCTAGTTATATATTTTATTATCTTTTGAAACTCATAATCTCTTAGGATTCTCTAATATTCTAAAGATTCATATTTTACTCCTCTCCTTCTCTAGTATATATGTATGCATGGAGGTACTTGTTTTTGCTCCTCTACTGAGGAGAGATGTATTTTCATTATCTTTGGCTTGCATTTGAATCCGAGTTTAACTTTCAACTCGATGCATCAGACATACTGAGTGTTGGAGTCCCACATCTGCTAGACTTGGACCATTTCTCATATATATATATATATATATATATAGAGAGAGAGAGAGAGAGAGAGAGAGAGGAGCGATCAAATGAAAACCACTCCAATTTGTAAAAACCGTAAAAACTACTCTCATCCGTCATAATCTTATGAAATTTTTTCATGAAATTGTTTAATCTTGTGAAATTGTTTCATATAATACTTTTTTTGATGAAGTTGTTTCATATATGGTTATGAAATTGTTCCATATACTACTTAATGAAATTTTAATGTAACTGTTTCATGTATTTCTCTAAAATTAAAATAATGAAGATGATAATATCCATGATTAACATCCTCCACAATAAAAATGATTAATCAACCTCTTATAATTACAAAAAAATGAACAAAATGAAAAATTATGATTGGTGGAATGAGGTTTTTACGGTTTTTACAAATTGAGTGGTTTTTATTTGATCGNTAATTACAAAAAAATGAACAAAATGAAAAATTATGATTGGTGGAATGAGGTTTTTACGGTTTTTACAAATTGAGTGGTTTTTATTTGATCGCTCCCCTATATATATATATATATATATATATATATATATATATATATATATATTGGAACCTTCCTTCTCTTCTCAAGGGCTCTTTTGAAGAGTAACGTAATGGGGTTTCACTTATTCTCACGTGGTATTAGAGCCAAAGATGTACCACTCTAGGGACTCGACAGTCTGTACTCGTCTAGCCCCCTCTCAACACTCTAGGAGAATATGTGTCCGTCTAGCCTCCGTTTGAGGGGGCGTGTTGCAGTCTGTCATCGGCTAGACTTGGACCATTTCTTCTTTATATATGTTGTAACCTTCCTTCTCTCCTCAAGGGCTCTTTTGGAGAGTAATCTAATGGGGTTTCACATATTCTCACACTGAATAAGCATATATAAGATATAAACTTGACTCTTTGATCACTTTTTTGGGTTCTATTATAGTTTTTCCATTAAATATTTTATAGGCCTGCATTCTATTATATGCAGCTGGTGTGCATGGGGTACTCCAAAGAACAAGTTATCCGTGCTTTTTCTGAGGTTGCAGAAAAGTCACCATACGAGGACACATCTTCACTTTGGCTATCTGTTTTATGTCGTCTTCGGGAAGTTGAAGTTTACAGTTCACCTTTGGACTCTGAGAACATTCTGGAAGAATCATCAAGTTCTTTCACTCGTAAAGATGGTAATAATATACCCGTATAAGAATTAAGAAACTAAGAGGCGTTTGGTTTGATGGAATTATTTTGAGGGATTTGGATTTCGTGGAAGGATTTGAAATCGGAGGGATTTAGATTTGGAATCTTTGGTGTGTTTGGTTTGTAGGATTTGGAATGGAACTAAATTCTATTTTTTTATTAATAATTTATAAAAACAAATTATAAAAATAATTAAATTATCTTTTATTGTTTGATTATTATAAAACAAATGTTTTTAACATATTTTATAACATTATTACACACAAATCCTACAAAATCCTGCGAAGTACCAACAACCCCCATGGGATTTCTAACATGGGATTTCAATGAAATCCATCATTTCAAATCCAAACAATCATTTGAACCAATCATGGGATTGGAGTGGAATTGAATTCCAAATCCCTCCAAATCCTATCCAATCCTACAAACCAAACGGGACCCAATAATTCATTCCTTAACCATGACTCTTTAACAGTGAGTACTTCTTTGATATCCAGGACTAGCGGATCCTTTTAGAAGTGAAACAGGTGTGGCGAATTTAGCTTCTGCATGGAGATCTGAAATCCCAAAGCCTTCCTTGAAAGCTTGCTCATCAACTGTGAGTGTTAAGCTTGCAATCTAATCACCAGCAATTGAAGTTTGAGGGATGCAAATTTTTGGGGCATGATATTGTTATCTTTCTTTCATGTTTTTCTAGAAAATGAGTTTATCTTTTAAACTATTTTATCGACTTTTTTGTATCTAGAAAATATAGCATGGATGTTGAGCACCTTTTTTTCTTCTTATGCATGATTTTATAGGACCAGGATGTGCATAAACGAGGTAGGGATAATCTAGAAGCTAAATTGAATGTTTTATCAATGCCACCTTTGATGTTTGGAGAGCGGTTCGTGGATATATATGAAGTGGTTCTAATATTGGATGATCGGGAGAAGTTCACTAAGGAGTAAGTACCTGCAGTTTAATTGTTTTGAACAATTGCTTCAAAATCAGAATATGCATATTTTCAACAATTTGTAAGATTCAAATTTGTATATATAATTATAGGGTCAGGTTCAGGGGAAAAGCGCAAAAAAAGGAAAAACGGAGAACGCCTTGGGAAATCATCTGGACGATATGCACATGTGCTTACAAGTAATTTGTAAGCAATTTGTCCGGTATGCACATGTGCATAACATGCACACATGCATAAAAACCAAGAAACAACTCCAATGATTATATATATATATAATATATATTTATTGTATATAGTCATATGTTTTAAGTAATTATTTTTCAATTAATATAAATATAATATATAATTATAAACACACCAAATCAAACTGACCTAGTATATCTCACTGGAAAGTAGGTATATATAATGAAGAATTGTGCAGAATAGTGTTAAATCATAACTGATCAAATATTGATTTTGTTCTTTTTGATTTCAGGTCAAGGTCTAGAAATCTTCTTGAGAATCTCCGAAAACATTTAAAAATACCAATTGAGGTGCACTTTAACTTATAGCCTGCAGTAGCTACATACAGTGTAAATTGATGAACATGAATTGACTCGCAATCTAGCAATCAAATATCCTAATAACGAGAAACGTTACATCAAAACACATATTTTTTGACGATCTTTCTCTCATATCTGCCGGTTAAGCTGTTAAGTTTAAGATCATAATTCTTCACAGGTCCGACGCTTACCCGTTGGAGATGGTATTTGGATAGCTCGCCATAAGCATCTTGGTAGTGAATACGTTCTTGATTTTATCGTTGAGAGGAAGAATGTTAATGACCTTCGGTCTTCCATCAGGGACAACCGTTACAAAGAGCAGAAAGTGCGAATCCTGGTGATGTTTCTTACTGACCTTGCTACATTTTTTCCTTTACTTTTAACACTTCCCATCCCCAGTTCCCCACTACCTGGTTCTGACCAGGTATCCTTCCTTCTGTTTCTGTGTGTAGTCGATATAACTTTCAATAATGGAAATTGTAGGCATCCGTGTCCTGTTTCTTGCTAACGATTTGCAAGGTTTTAAAAGGCGGAATCAGGCCTCGAGGCGTTTTACCTCAAGGAGGAGAGGGTAAGCCTCGAGGCGGTCCGATGCTTAAGCCCCGAGGCAGAAATATATATACTACACAAATATATATACATTTACATCGAATATATATATAATACTAAATTACCGAGAGGCGTTGGTTCAGTGGTTCTTGACAGAAACCGTGAGATAGGCTGAGAGGGTGTGAAAAAATTGGTTACTTGGAGGAAGAGGAAGGGTCAAAACACACTTTTTGATTGAGGGGAGAAAGTACTAGTTTTTTGAGTTTTAAAATATTAAAAGTACACGTTAGGGCCATTTGGCTTTGACTTTTAGTTTAAAAATAAAATAAAAGACACATCATAAAGAGAATGTACTACTACTGCCATAAAGCTTATAAAAAAGCCAAAAAACATAACAGCATACCATCTGAGGCGTACGCCTCGACAGCACCTCATGCTTTCCTGAACCACCTCACTGGACCAAGGCGTAAACCTTGTCCAGGCGCCGCCTCAGGTTTGGTTTTGGGCCACCTCGCCTCGAGGCGCACCTCAAACGATTTTTAAAACCATGAGTTGATTTGTATAATATCAGTCTTCTAAAAGACCTTAAGCGGAGCTCGGTGGTCACTAAGTGGGGATTAAGTGGACACGTTAGAGGTTCATTTGAATATATAAACCATAATGACTTATAGAACCATATGAGAAACAAAATCTTATTATTTTGATACAATTATTATTCTAATTAACTAGTTTCATCCGTCGAAAGTATAGAAACCGTATAAAAATAATATTTTGAGGACAGTAAAGTAAAGTTTAAAGAGCATAAAATACAATAAATAAAATTTAAATAATGAATAAAATGTAGAGAGGGAGTCGTATTTGATGTTTTAGAAGAGAATTATGTTTTATTTTGAAGTTATATTGGTAAAATATAGGTCTGTTTCACCTTGTTCCATTGGGTGGGGGTGGAACACACCTGATCTACTTTGTTCCACATAAAAGTTCTGTCAAACATGAAATAGTGATCCCTCTTCTGTTCTGTCCTGTCCAGTGTACCAAACGCACCATTATTATGGTATGCATGCTCACTGTATAACATAGAGCATAGAGTCCTTAAGATTTTATATCATCTTGTTTATCATTGCAACACTACAATCCATCCCTTACATTATTTTTGAAGAATTGTTATCTTTTTTTTTTCTTTTCTTAATCAAGAGGTCTGGACTCAAAAGGCTGATATACCTAGTAGAAGGTAATCCCAATACTTGCGAAGGTGCTGAAAGTATTAAAACAGCGTAAGTACAATTTTTACGTCGTCTTTATGGACTAGTATCTTTCTACTTGCTTTCATCTAATGATAACTATTATTCCGTCATAATACTCATAATATCACGACCAATATCTATCAACCTCATTTGCTTTGCATTCTAGTTTTTTGAACTTCCATTTTTTTTCTGGCCTTTATCTACTTAACAGCTAATAATATCTCTATATGGGTTCTTACTAACCTCCAAGAGTCCAAGGAACTTAATTTTCTTCACATTTTACCTGGAATTCATCAGTCAACCAATTTCTAGAAAATAGTTTTTGGGATACCATAATATTATGTGTAGATTTTTGTACCTAAATGAAGTTCTTTTGGTGCCATACTGTTTGAAATGTGCTAAATTTCTATCCCACAGGTGCACAAGATCTAAGTTGTTTGTGTGGATTAATCTGTCTGTATAGATCGGGAATGTTTTTGTTTGGGAGGTTTTTTCATACATGGAAGGAGTGTGTTTTTAATTGGGAGGGGCAAGTTTGGAAAAACTTGTCTTTCTGCATAAAGCTTCCTCCTAGAAGCTTACTGAATAAGCCACTTTCCATATCATTAAACCACTACCAAACAGTCATGTGTAGCTGACTGAATAAGCTGTGAGTCCCATTAAGCTCATTAAGCTGCTAACAAACAGACACTAAGTTCCAGTTAAACATTGGCTTTACTATAATAGAACATGGTAAAGAATTTACGTAACTCTATTTCAAGAAATCAGGGAAAACGCCAGTTTGTTTGAATGTTTGTATCACTCTTTCTGCTGATTTTTATACCGATCATATGTGGGTATTTGTAGTTGTATGACAACCGAGATTCTGGAGGGGTTTGATGTGCAGAGAACAAATGACTTAGTAGACACACTACACAAATACGGGCATCTTACTCGATCAATAATAGAATACTACAAATCTCTTGGCAATGAAGCCCAAAATCAAGATTTCCCAGTCTGCCCTCCTTTCGATCAATTTATCAAGAGGTGCCAAGAGTTGGATCAGATGACAGTGAGTGATGTATTTGCTATCCAGCTCATGCAGGTACGAGACTTAAATATTTATGTCTCTCTTTTGTTCTTCCAATTTAACGTTGCTAGGGGCTGTTTGGTTGGTTATTTTTCATTTATTTATGTACGGATAAAGTTGTTTGTGTGGATTAATCTGTCTGTATAGATTGAGAATTTTTTTTGTTTGGAAGGGTTCCTTTAATAGACAAAAGAAGTGTATCTTAATTTGGGAGGGGCATGTATGTAAAAAACTTAGCTTTCTGCATAAAGCTCTACCCTAGAAGTTTATTGCATAAGCCACTTTCTAAATCATTAAGCCACTACCAAGCACGAGTGTTTCTTTACGGGTTAATCGTTAAGCCATTAAGCCAAAATGATTATATAGAATAAGTCGGGACCCCTCACTTTTCCCCATTAAGCCACCTCAAACAAATTAATACCAGAAATAATCCAACCCTCTCTTTGCCTCCCTCAAACCCATCGGTCTCCCGTCCCTTAACCAAACATATTTATTCAGACAGACAACTTAACCCATTAAGGGATTAGGGCCTGTTTGTTAGCAGCTTAATGAGCTTAATGAAACTCGCAACTTATTCCGTCAGTTATACATGATTGTTTGATAGTGGCTTAATGATATAGAAAGTGACTTATTCAGTAAGCTACTAGGGGGAGCTTTATGTAGAAAGCCAAAAATATTCCAAACCTACCCCTCCCAATTAAAAAACACGCTCCTTCCATTTATGGAAAAAAACCCGAACAAAAAAGCTTCTCAATCTATACCCACAGACTAACTCCATACAGATAACTTCATCCATACAGGACTTAATGGAAAACCATTCATAAAAAAACATAAAGGGCTTTTAAGTGGGACAACAATGCATTTTATCTGTCCCACCAAAATAGGTAGAACAAAAATCATGGAGATAAGACAAGATTGGTAAGTTACCGAACTATTCATGCCAAATTAAAACCCTAAAGCCTTCCACTTATCACTGTAGACAGTCTTTTATAAACATAAAATTACGTTAATGGAATATCTCTATCACTTGATTGTCTATAATGCAATTCTTCTTGCAGGTTCCACAGGTGACCGAAGATGTTGCCATTGCTGTCCTGGATTTATACCCAACAGTTCTATCACTTTCTCGTGCCTACTCGAATCTTGTGAGTTTTCTTTACTTTGTGACGATGTTGGTATGATCCCGTTTAATTATTTACAAAAATACCCTCTTTTGGAAAACATATATATTCTTATCCTTGTTGGTAAATATTATAATATGGGAACGTTGCCAAATCTAGTATTATACCTTTATTTAGAAAAGTGAACAAGTTTCTTAATCTTCACAAGTCATCTGTAAGGTTGGTCTTGGTGTGGTACCAAATCTTTTTCTCCAATGTATACAGTGTACGAACCAATTATAATTGGTACGCAAAATCCAATACCATGTTCCAACCAATTGTACTTGGTACCAACTTTTTACGGTTGGTAGATATTGGTACGGTTTTATACCAACTTCAAGTTACATATATGAAAACCTTGCCATTTTATTTGAATTTTGAGTGACATTTTGAGTTTCCAGGTAACACATGTAATGCTTAAGGGTATGCAAACATTCAAATGTTCAAAAAAAAAAAATAGTTAAAGTTACAACGTCTAATATCCAATATATAAAAAAAATACAAAAACTAATAAATAATTAAGTCAGTCAGTACCATGGTGCTGCCGACTGCCGTGATACGCAACTTCCAATGTTATCTACCTTGTACGGTACTACCAACTGGCTTTAATTGGTACAGTTGGTATACATGTTGACTGGTTTTGTTTGGTAAAAGATTGCCTGTTATTTGTGATTTTGAGTTTTGTGTTTTGGATTGCAAGGATGGTGACATAAGTGCACAAGAGGAACTGTTGAAGAAGCAGAGTAAGAATGTGATAAGTGGAGTTGCTAGCAGAAATATTTTCCAATTCATTTGGGGTGCTTGATTGCATTACATACATCTTCTAACAAATGGTAAATTCTCTTGAACTCATTCTTTAAGAGGAATATAAATGTTTATATTTTGGAAGTTGTGGTCTTGTTAGTTAGAAGTATTTAACATTATCTGGGTATCCTATGTGAGAATGAGAAAATTACAGTAGTTCTTCTTGGTACTGTTTTTTTATTTTGTGGGTATTATTTATATGATTTGAGAGAAATAAAATGATAATTGTGGGTATTGATCAGTGTTCTAATAGGCTCCTATAGCAGCTGCTGTTGCTCAAGGCTTGTGTCAGATGCCACGTTAAGCCTGTGGCATGCTATGTCCTGATGTGTGGTTTTTGTAGCATGATATTTGATTTTTCTTACCTTTTATGTGTTATTTGTTGGTTTTTAATATATAACCTAATTAAAGTTGTTTAATATCATTAAATCATTGAGTAATAGTAGACAACATACGTTTATATATATATATATATATATATATATATATATATAGAGAGAGAGAGAGAGAGAGAGAGAGAGAGAGAAAGAGAGAGATTTGCTATCATAAGTCATGTCTTGAAAAACGTCATGGTCTTGTCGTGACTCCTAAGGCTTGAGGATTGGCTATGCCACGTCTCACGCCATTTAAGACCCTGGTTTTGATTACTTAGATCATAGAGAAAATTGATATGGGACCCACAAAATAAAACGAGAACGAAAGATTAACTCATGATTTTAGATAGGAGTTGTTACAGGTGACAGATTAGGGTAGTCGATTGTGTCTATAAGTTCATTTTGCGTTATAGAAAAATCGAATTCCTTTTGTGAGCTTTGTGTCTTTTTTGGCTGTGTGGAATATTTGTTTTTTGCTATAATTTTGTCTTAATTTGTTTTCTTCTTCAAATATGTGGCTTATAGTTACACTTTCTATACTTATACTAAACCTTCCTTGCATGCCTAAAGTCTTATCGAAAACAATATCTATCTTTTCCAACAATATTAAGGTCTACTTGCTCTTTGTCACTCTTAGGGGCTGTTTGACAGTTGTTGAATGGTTTGCTGTAAAATGGTTAAGTGGTCAGAATGATTAAGAGACTCTCATGATATAATGCAAAATGAAATGTAATTGTTTAATAATTGTTTACAATGAAATTAGGGCGTTGAATGGTTAAGGGAGATCCATGATACAAAACTATTCAGAGGGTTTTAGAACTATTAAGAGGCAAACTTTCTTTTTTGCCAAATAATATTCATCTCTTAACAATTCAGATAATACCTCTTAATAAAACTATTAAGAGAGAAATAAACAACTCCTTAACCCTAATTCTGAGTGAGTGATAGTGTGTTTATTTGTTTTTAAAAACCAAACTGGAAGCAGTTATATTGTATCCAGTTTTTAGTCTAATTTCAAGCCTCGTACTAAGTCAATTTACTCCACAATCAAAACCTACCAAATAACATATCATTATTTTGAATTTTTTTTTTATTAACCTGGATATCCAACCCGCTATGCGAGCCGACTAATCTCAGGACGACCACCTGCTTTGTAGATAGCCCGGAGTCACCGCATTTGAACCTCCGTAGCCACAAGGGGATTTTTATTCCTCGTTGGATTTGAATATGTGATCTCCTGGTATTTTTGACATTTGGAGTCAAGCTCAAACCAATCAGACACCATCTTTGTTGTTCATTATTTTGAATTTTAAACCAAGTATGATGGTTATAATATATAGATATGATTGGGTTATGGGAGGGAGGTTAACAGGAAAACCCTTAAAAAATAAAAAACTGAGAAACACCTTGGTAACCATTAATTTGGACAATCTGCATATGTGTCTAAAAGTAATTGAAGTTGTTTCTTGGTTTTTATGCACGTGTATATATCATGTACATGGGCATACTGGACAAATTGCTTATGAATTACTTGTATAAACATGTGCATATCATCTAGATGAATAGTTACAACGTGTTCTTTGGTTTTTCATTTTTTGCAGTTTTCCTTCTTGAACCTGATGTTGAGTTATTGAAAGGTTAGTTAAAACATGATGACTTGATCATCGATCGATTTGAATGTCTCTTTCCTTTGTTTTGATATGCATATTACGTTTAAGACTCTTCTAGTTTAAAAAAAAAAAAGTTTTATCGTCTTCTTTTTGTGTAAGAACTGATTGCTACATGTTTAACTTTTCCCCTTTATATACATATCTAGCTTTTAAAAACTGATTTTGCTTTTATATCAGTTTCTTAACGCCTTTTATTTGCATCTAGCAAATGTTAAACGAATGAGAAATTCTATCAATATAAGTATTAATTTAACAAGAAAACTATGATTGTTTTTGTGATGTAATTTATTTTGTTTAAATTTTGTTTATTTTTAATATTTTTTTTGAATAAAAGTTAGAAAGGGTGAGTTTTTTAATTTAAAAAATATTATTGTAACCCTCAATTTAATAACATACATGCATATACGTGTTTGTATTATGTACATAGAGTTAGGTTTAGAAAAGAACCGTAAAAAATGAAAAACTGAGTAACATTCATCTGTACGGTATCTACAGACGTATACAAGTAATCTGTCTGGTATATATATATATATATATATATATATATATATATATACACACATACACATGTATAAATAATTGAAGATGTTTTTTTATTTTTATTCACACATACACACACACACATATATATATATATATATATATATGTATATAATATATATGAGAAAAATTTAAACGAGAACACTTTCATTTTATGAGAACGCGAGAACATTCTTTTACTATAGACAATCACATGTGATATTATTATTTTATCACATATGATACACATGTGATACTATTATTCTATCACATATGATACACATGTGATACTATTATTCTACCACATATGATACACATGTGATACTAAATCAGAGACGTGGACGATTTTCGGTACGATCTTGGTTGTGGGCCAAGTCGCTCTTGCACTAAGCCACCTTACAAGTATTATCACATGTGATAAGGATGTTGTTGATATGATATTATAATCCATCAAGACCATCACATGTGATGCTAAATCATAGACGCACATAATCTTTGGCACGTCCTAAGTCGTAGAACACGTCTTTCGCATACCATCACATCCTCTCATGCGTATTATCAAATGTGATAAGAGTGTTCTCGCATTCTTGTAAATGAAGGTGTTCTTGTTTGAACCTCCATCTAATATATATGTGTGTGTGTGTATATATATATATATATATATATATATATATATATATATATAGGGACAAGATAAAATGTTAACCAAAGTTTTTGTATTAAATTTGCAAACCATGTCAACCAATCACAATCCATTCTTCTATTAGGTTTCTATCATGTTCATAATTTAAAGCCAAGGGTAATTGAGTAATTTCATTTCCTATGTGTTCACGGTTCATTTGTGTTCAAATTGTATTCACGATTGTTCATTTTTGTTCAAATTGTGTTCACAGTTCATTTGTGTTCAAATTGACCAATACCGAAAATTGTTACTACCGTGTTTCTTATGCGATTTAGGAATTCATACAAAAATGAACATGGAAGATCAATAGTAAAAAATAATAATAATATGAATGCATATATTTTTGGGATTTGATTGTTTGTAACTCCCCATTAATTGTTTGTGGGTTAAAAATGAATTCAATTTACTAGAATACCTTTGATAAATGTATTTTTTCTTCCCAAAATGTCCCTTTCATCATTGTTCACTAGGTCTTATTAAAATTCAAACTTTAAAATTTAATTTTTTTATTGATTAATATTAACCGTTGATTATAGATTTGAATGACTAAGATCAGTTAATAAGGTTAACACAAAAATAATGGTTAACATTTGATATTGGCCCTATATATATATATATATATATATATATATATATATATATATATGAATGGACCGGTCAAATTTATTACAAAGATCATCCGGCATATTTGATTTTGCATCGGGTGGATCAAGATTTCTTTAATTTTACTTTCATCCCCTTGAAAATGATCTACTTGACATATAGACCCTAAGAGAACAATTATTTTAATTCCCAACCCCACTAAATTCAAGCATCAAGTTTAGTCAAAAGGGGGTACAAAAGGAAAAACTCTTGGTTTGAGAAGAGAATTATCTTATATTAAATTGAATTGTTAAATTAGATTGAATTTTTTTATAATTTAAATAAATTATTTGATTAATTACGGCCTTAAGACAATATCGACTATAACATATCAAAACATTGAGATAAAGTTCATAATTACGCTTTATGCAACATGGTTTGAGTTGTCTAATTCTCTATTAAAACCGTAAGTGTTGTTTAGAAAGAATTTCAAATGCTGTTGTTTGGCGTCAAGCAACTAAACCTATATGGTTTGACTATAAGTGACGAAATTGTTAAAATCAGACTGTATTTTAACAAAATCGGTAAGGTCTACATAGTTTGAGATTATCATGAGATCTAAACTTCGTCATAATAAAGACGGACAACTAAATATATGTTATTACGCTTAACATTTTATCTTATTTAAATAACAAATTTATAGTACTAGTCGTGCACATGTGTGATGTAAGAAAAGTTGCATCATAATTTCTTTTAAATGGAAAAATGACTAAAATACCCTCACATGTTCGACAAGTGGGGTGACTTATCGGCTCTATTAAACAACACAGAACTATACCCTTTGTTGAACTAAAAGTATCCTAGTGTTATCGAATGATATTTTACCTTTCGATTTTATGCACCATTAACTCGAGGACCACACTCGAGGGAGTATCGTAGCATTAGAAATATTGATAAGAGAATTAGATAGTGTGGGAGCATATTTATAGACCGACATAGGGTTATGCTTAACCATATGGACGTGAATATACAACTCTTGAATATCGAATATTTGTGCCATCATTCTCACCCATTATCATCAATGTAAATTAATGGGAAAAAAGTGACAGACAATAACATTAATATGCCATACTGATATTGGCATCAATATGTACTTTCAGCTCAGGTATAATGGAACTCAGTTAAATGATGCTAACATATGAAAGAGACCATATAGAGACATCAACCTAAAGATGTCAAGATCGAATCATGAGATTAAGGATACAAATCTTTCAAATTCGGTTTTTTGAGATGCATTCAAATCACTTATGTATTTAACATGTTAAGCCAGTTTAGTAAAGTATGCAAAACAAAACGAATTGATAGTTACAGTAAATTACACAGTTGGTTTTGAAATGATATACTGAATGTTTGACCAAAACAACACCTAAAAGTTGTTCCCTTTTTGCTACGAGAACCATCTTCAAAAGTTGATGGATTACATTGCATACAAAAAAGGGACCAATATCACCCACTATACAACTTGCCAAAATGCACCAATTGCAATTCTATTCTTACTTCTTATATCGCTATCAATGAAAAATAATTTAAAAAAAAGTCAAGGTCAACTTTACAATTTAGGGGTAAGATTTTCGATGTCAATTGGTTCTTTCACCATTTCAATATTTTTTTGGCACAAATTCCCTTCTTGCTCACCATCAAAGCTAGCATGAACGCTGTATAGAACATATACAAGCACTATAACAGCCGAAAAGAATCCAAACCGAACGTAAGAAGGTTTGTCGATGTTCCCCAATAAGAATACGTTGAGAAAGATTGAAACAGATGGTATCCATGGCATAAGCGGGACCCCCCAAAAATCGGGCTTCCTCACTTGTGGGACCATGTAAACAAACAGTTGAACCAACCCCACGGCAGCTAAAGAGCATGCACCTAACATGAACCCCTTTGGTTTCCCGGGCGGTGCTAGCCACCATAGTAGGGTGAACATGATGCAAGTGAACGAGAAGCTTAAAAGGAACGACAATGTGGGCCACGAGCTCGTTGTCTCTATTGAGACGTAACGTCTGTAGATGACTGCATTGGAGACCATTAAGAATACAAAGAGTGTGCCGATGGAGACAAGGTTGAGGAGGACGTGTAGCTCAGTGAAAAGGGCTATTGCCGCCGTGAGAATCCCTGAAAAAGCCCTGATAAATTAGATCGTGTATAGGTATACAGACATTTTACCTACCTAGAATCCATCTCTAGATGGAAGATACCGTACTCGTTTGGTGTTATCAGTACAATTATTTCAGGTATCACAGTGAGAAGTGAAAATCTAGTAATCTTTAAAGTTAAAAGGGAATTTTGATTATATGAAAAGAAACATAGATTACATATAAAGATGTTAGACAAGTAGATCAAGAAGTCTTTCAAGAAAGTTGAGTAAGGAGAGGAATAGGAATTGAAGATAAGGCAAGAGAGTCAAAGTCAAACATATGAAGGCATTAAGAACAATTGGATCCTATTAGTGGTTGTAAAAGAGAGAATTCACAAGACCCACATGATGGAGAAGTGATAGGATAGGATTTTGGGGCTCATATTTGCAAAAAAATCCGCTTTAGAACATGATTCGTTGAGGAAAACTCGTGAGAAGACTGGGTTTCAGAGCATATGTTTTTTCAGTAAGTAGTTGTGTAATCACGATTCTTCCAATCAAAATAAAACTTTCCTTTTCAAGATGCTTATCCCCCCACTTTCAAATTACTAATAAAAGTAAGGTAGATTATCACCAATCATAAGATGGAATCATACTTCTATCCCTTTTTTATTTCATATCTATAACTAGATAACATCTAATTAGTGGCTTTCCAAGTCTTTCTCATCAAAAAAAAAAAAAAAAAAAAATCTAAAATACCTTCGATTTTTTTTATTAAACTGGATATCTAACTCCCTATACGAGCTGACTAATCCCATGACGACCACCTGCTTTGCAGATAGCCCGGAGTCACCAAATTAGAACCTCCGTGGCCACAAAAGGGATTTTTATTCCTTATTGGATTTGAACCTGAGACCTCCTGATACTTTTGACCTTTGGAGCTAAGCTCAAACCAATCAGACACCACCCTTGTGGTTCTAAAATACCTTCGTTTAGAAATGAAATAAGTATATATTACGAACTAAAACAAACAATATCAATATTTTATATAACGATAATAACCATAAACGATAGAAATTTCTCTTGAAAATGTCTAGGTATCAATTATCACGTGACTAACATAAAGCATATAGGTCAAAATTACTAGATTTTCATGTGACGACATAAATATTTACTAAAAAGCATTATTTATTCTGTAATTTAGTTTAATCTGTAGGAATCTTATAACAGCTAGACACAAACAGTATAGGAACCTTCATTCATCCACAAAATTTAAAAAAAAAAATCACGTATTTTCAAATAATCAAAATTAAATGTAAATAAGATCTTTATATGTAATCAGATTAAAACCAAAATTATTGTTATCGACTTTATCAATTTTAGTTCAGATCCCTAAGTTGACATGGTTGCACCGACAATGGGTTTGGATTTTAGGCAGTGGAATGACCTATTCATTTTTGCATCATATTGTCTCACCACTTTTTAGTATGTACTATTTTTAACTAGATTTTTTAGAAACTTGTTTCCATTGTAACCATGTTCCTTTCACTTGACGACCATATTTCCATTGTAAATCGGGTAACCACTAACCACTGAGAGTACGACACATATATCATAAATATTGTCGAACGTTCCATTCATTATTCATAATGAATATGAACACATGACACGCTCTCAATAGTTCTCTGATTCACAATAAAAATACACTTTTCAACCGTATTTTCCTCTAGATTTTAAAACATATTATAAAGATTGGATCAGAGAGGTCCAAGGTTTTTATTATTATATACCTCAATATTTCATAAAATTAAGGTATGAACAAGACCATATGCTCCCCAACCGAAACGGTTCATATGGGATCAATTTCCCATGCGGCCTAACTTTTTAAATACTATTATTTTATTGTATATGTTTTTGAAAAAGAAAACCCGTATCTTGATGATATTTTAAATAGAAATAGATCAAAATAGACGATCTTTCAGACCGTGTTACCTTTTTAGCTACTCTTTTAATCGAATTACTGTTTTAGTTAGATTTTACGTAAATCTCGATCTCAGATTAAAGAAAAAAAAAGAAAAGGGTATCTGTCACGACATAAAGAAAATATGAGATCATCGAGTCTAGTTTATTGATGGTTCTTGTAATCTTTAAGATTATTTTATTATTAAACGACCTAGGAAAAGAAAAAAGGTTACCTAAAAATGCTGAAGCATTTACGGGAGTTGATGTCTTCGAATGAACCTTTGCAAACCACACGGGGACCACTCCAGACCTTCCGATCACACAAATATATCGAGCTTGTCCCAACATCGCTACCAACAGCGACGTTAGTATCCCAAAGCTGGCCCCGACTCCGATAACGTTGGTTACCCATTTCAACCCGTTCGAATGTCCAACAAAAGCTCCTGTAAATGGTGATTCTGGATTTATCTGCAGAAAATAATCCTTGCTACTTAGTTTATACAGTAAATTTAATTTAATTAAAAGTTTGTATTGAAAATTACATGTTAAACATAAGAAAAACTTTTCTATCTAAAAAGTATTTATTTTAATTGTATCATGTAATCTTGTTGAAATAGTAACGCAATCAAAGTACCGTCACAAAAATTTCAATAACCACAAAGGTACCATCACTTGTGCATGATTTACAACTCAAATAAAATTAAAGAAGACAAATAGGCCAAGAAACAAAAATTAGTTGAGATAAGACAATTGTGCTTTTAGCAATCAGTCAAGGCCAAAGCCCTTTTCAGAAAACCATTTCCATTATCTACAAAGACACATGTATATATCCACAACAGTACAACAATCTCAGAAAATTGTACAACAAGTTGAAGCAACACCATGACTATGCCTGGTGACATTTTGTCAATAAACAAGTATCCCATCCTATGTTATGACATGACTTTCTTAAAAGATGAATTTAATGGATATACATTACATGTAGGATTCAATTTTGATAAGAATTAAAGTGAGAAACATAAGAAAAGACTTCATTTTTAGATATATACGCGATTCATGAATGAGTTTGAGATTATAGTTGATCAATGGTCCATATTTCATCTTATGCTTCTCATTTTAACTCCCTTTCTCATATGATCCTTCGTGTGTGTGTGTATATATATATATATATATAATACATTTACGTATATTTTGACTAAAACAGGAATTCGATGTCAAAAATGACTAAAAGTGAATTTGGTTAAATATTCATTTTGGTGATATATATTTTTATTGAAATATGATATAAATACCAGATCGTAGGGAAGGAGCATGGACATTGAAGCGGCCATTAAACAGTAGAGAATGGTAACGAGGATGACGGAACCCGAAACCCCAATCGGAATATCAGTAATAGGATTCTTAACCTCCTCCGCCAGCGTCGACACGGCGTCGTATCCTATGTAACTGACGTAAACCAGAGAAGCTCCATTGAACACTCCTGGAGCTCCGAACGGGAAAAACCCGCCCGGATGATTCGGGTCCGATGGCTCCGTGAAGTTTTTCGTGTCTCCTTTCCAAAACCCCATCATAATCACAAATACTATGAACAGAATGTGTAAGGCTGTCAAAATCATGTTCAATACAGAGCTTTCTCTTGTGCTGTGATAACAAATCAAACGAAATTGAAATCAGAAATTTCGAAAATGATTTCGTTTTGTTGGAAATTGATTTGAAATTTTTGAATAAAGGAGACCTGTAACAGATTATGAGAGTGAGAATTAAGATGATGAGAACGGCGATGATGTCGATTTGGTTGAAACCTTTTGGAAGAGATGAAATGGTGATTCTCCATTTTGATTCTGCAGAAATTCCAATGGCGGTTCCGAGATAGGTTGTGAAACTTCTCGCTGCTGCTGCGTTTGATAAAACGTAATCCATCACCAGATTAGCTCCCGTTAAAAATGCAGTAAACTCGCCTGAAAAAAAGGGGGGAAATACATTGAAATCACGTGAATCTGTGTTTATTGTTGTTTGTTGTTAGCTGTAGATGTGAAAACAAACCGAAAGTGACACGGATGTAGCTGAAGGCACCACCGGCGACAGGCATGTGAACGGCGAATTCAGTGTAACAGAAGGCGGAGAGAAGTGCAGAGAGTCCGGCAATGGCGTACGATAGTATAACGGCGGGACCAGCCTTATCGTGGCTAGCGGTACCACTAGTAACAAAAACTCCGGCACCTACCATACCGCCGATGCCAAAGCAGATTAGATCGTACCAACGGAGGTTTTTCCTCATATCAACTCCCGATCGGGAGCGGAGACGGCTGGTTTCTTCGAAGGTGGTGGAGACGGAACCGGCGCGGCGGAGGAACCGGCGAGGGGTGTCGGAAAGGGCATGGAAGTATGATTTGAAGCTCGAGAACGATGAGCCATGGCAGTCCATCACCTTTTTCACTTCTCTTCAATGTATGTAATTTGGGGCCACGAAAGGGGATTTTATAGGCGGAAATTTACAGATTTTTAGTCAAAGCGATCCAAATTCATTTTTCAACCAAAGGAGTGCATGACAATATTCAAATTGCTTCTAAAAATAACTTATTGATGCATTCGGTGCGACAACTTATTACTTTATTTCAGTGTGGTACCAATAATCAGCATTTTTGAGTGTTTGAATAAATATCTTATACCGGTGTCAAACCGGTAATAAGAAGTTTTTGAAAAAGTTAAATCATTCTAACTTATAATAAGTTGATAAATTTTTTTGTAGAAAAATATAAGTTGTTTTAAATAAACAATCTCAATTTATTATTAAAAATATTTATAATGTTTTTTTAGTGTGTGATTGGAGTTGAGTTTTTTTCGTGTTCAAATGATCCACAATTTGTAGTATTTTTAGTGGTTGTGTTGGAAATACCCCTATGTTGAAGGTCTATGTATATACGTAAGGATTGGTTTTCGATAAAAACAAAAAAAACAAAAGAGGTTTTTGCATAAGGATCCAGAAACCTTATACATACAGTGGAATCCTTGTATAGAAGCCATACGCATATACGTAAGGATTCATTTTCGTTTTGTTGCGGAAAACCAATCCTTACACATATGCATAAGGCTTATGCGTAAAAATTGACTGAAAAATGAAATCTTATATACTGATTGGTTATTTCTGTCAGTTTTCTAAAGGGACTCCCGTACTGTGGTTTTTGGGGGCTGACGTTAAAACAAATAGGCGTGTAACTATTTGTTTTCGATCCCTATGAAATTGACTTCTGACAAATGGGTCCCTGTATTTTACATTTAGATAAGGATTACACTTTTTCATCACATTTCCAAAAGGTATAACCTTTATATGTTGATATATACACACCCCACCACCATTCTTGGAATAAACCAAAACACTAGTTGTGATTTGGCATATCTTGAATATCTTTATATTTCAATGTTTTTAACTGTTACAGTAAAAGTCTGTATCGAATAATTAATTTTTAGAAAAAACACTGTGTTTCTCGTTTCCCAATAAAGAAATTAACACCTGTTGTAGATTAAAGTGTGTTTATGTAGTCAAAGTCTTGTTATGGAAGGTTAGACCTTGGTATGATTATTGCTATTACTAGATGCTTGAAATGATGTTATTGGTGCCGATAACAAGTGATATACATATGATAGAAAGTATCCAAAAAAGGATATGATGCGGTTGCACTTTGGTGTTTAAAGTTAGCAATGCTTTGTAGTTTAGACCAGTGTCGGATTTTGGAATTTCAACATGACGATACACGTCATAAGTGTAAAGCTGGTATGCATTGATTTGCAATCATTTTTCTTCAGGGTATGTAGACCCTCCTCGAGTTGAGCAGAATGTGTGTGGCACATATAATGTTCATGGCATAACTTGTGAAGACGATAAAGGATTTGTGTGTTTTTTTACTTTGTATCATAGTGTCATACAAATTGTTTGGTTCAAATAAGATCTAATGGTATGAATAGTGCTAACTCAAGGTTGAATGTACACACATTTTCTGCATGTATGTATGAATACATGTATGTATGTATGTATGTATATATGTATGCATGTGGGTATGTATGTATATACATACATACATACATATGCACATGCATGTATGTATGTATGCATAACAGTAAAAAAATTTAATTATATACGAAAAAGATAAAAACCAAGTTTGTTACACTGTCAAACTAAACTAATTAACGTATCAAAACATCATTAAAGATCCAAATCTGATTTGTAGATCATTTTCACACATAGATGCTACTAAAATCGGTCCCAAGACGACGAAGACTTCCATTATCTACACTGTGATTTTGAAACCAAAACCATTTAAACCACACTTAATAATTGAAGTGATGCTCGAACCACAACCATAAATTAAGCATACCCTCTTATCCATCCATCTCCATGTAAGGCATTGATTCCAAAAGTTTTTCACATTTCACTTTACTGAGTTTCAAAGAAAAATCTGGGAAGTTTCAGCTTATGTTCGTTCATGGGTTCCTAATAAGGCCTTGACATCTAATCAACAGACAATTTGGCCTTTTTTTACTGATAAAGGCTTTTTTTCCAGTTACGTGTTTATTTCAATCTCCCATCTAGTTTTCAAACTGTTCTCGTCTTTTCCAACCCACGTGAACTTTTCCATATTCAAGTGAACATCCACCAAGCATTCAATTCTATGAAAACCCTGTATTTTACCATACTTGGTGCATAAACGATAAGATAAAACACTTTTTATCCAAAGGGATATGAACCCTAAACACTGAATCTAGCTGATCGAAGCCTACAAGCATCTTTTCTAGAATATGTTTGAATTCCATACGTCGATTAAACCTCTTGACCTTCGAATACGTACCTGGGCTTCCATATATAGCTAAATCTAGGTTATTGAATCTTAACCATTTTCGACTCCTATATGGGCTAGCTATATTGGTTTGACCTCTCGTATCAGTTGTTTTATTGTTTTATCTTTAAGTAACGAATATAATAAAGTTGTTCATCATTATTCTACAGTTTATTCTTTTTTTATCTTTCAGTGATTGTTGTTCTTTTTAATACGTTATACATGTATACATATTTTTTTATTATTATTAAGTATCAGATACCTTTAATTTCATATACCTTCAAAAGGAACTCGAAACAACTACGATAGTCATTATTTTGGGAGCTAAATCTAGCAAACAAGTACTGTATATGCCTATTCTTCTAATCTGTCAAGTCTTCCTTCTACCATTTGACTGATTTTCGTGCAAGGGAAATGCATCAAAATATAACAAAGTTCATAAACATTCAACTATTTTTATTACATATCGGTTTTACGTGATAAATGGGTTTTCTACATATGTGACATCGATTCATTTTGATGTGACATTTTGTCACGTAATAAATAACTACAATAACACTTGATGACTTGGCATTGGTGTCATTACAGTTACAAGATCTGTTGGTTACAGATCAGAATGTGTATGAAATAACAGAATTGAACGTTTGTTATGCTAACTGAGAAAAAGATCATTATTACACTTAATAGGAACTAAGAGTATTTTCAATGCAGGGTTCTTATCAGCAAAAAGTGAAGTGACTTTAAGAACTACAATTATTGAGAGTTTTTTTTTATAGGAATCTTATCGTCTTTAGGTTCTTGTACAAGAACATTGGTTTTTACCATGAAATTTGTGAGAAGTGACATTTTTTCCTAGTTTTTTATTTTATTTTTTTGACTTTATAATATTTACTGATGTTGAAAAATCAACGGGACCCATAAAAAAAGAGGTTCTTATAAGAACTATCATTGTAGACTTTCAGTAGAGTTCTTTATTTGATGAGTTGGATATGAGGTGAACAACAAAAAGTACAAAAAGAAGGTTCTTATAAGAACCTTCGTTGCAGATGTTATAAGCCAAATGCAGTTGCATTTTGACCTTCTTGAAATTGTCCTTTGTAGTATTCTTGGTTGTCCCATCGGCTCCTACGTGACCCCATCTGGCAAGAAATTTTGATCGTTGATGGTGATTTCTCTTCGGGCTCGATCGACATCCCCTGATTTCTCTTTCTATTAAACGGGTTACGCTCTAATGGTCTCTTTATTCATATTTGCTTTGAGTACTTAGTCAACTGTTGACGGTGGATGGTCGATGGTTCTTATCTGTAATCAAAGGGGTTAAACCGAATAAAAGGCATAATGTAGGGGTTGAATTTGATTAAAGTAAACATTAGTGTCTTTCTCATTATTTCATCCAAGTTTTCATCATATATAAATTTACCCAAAATTTGTGATGTCTTGTGAGTACACGTTTGTATTGAAGGGTACACAAATTCACATAATTTATTTTTATTTTACATTTTTTTTAAATGCTAAAATATGAGAATGTTTTCAAAAGGTGGCAAAATGAACCAATCAAATTTCGGGGCCATTTTTATTTATTAATCGGGATATCCAACCCGTTATATGAGCCGACTAATCTCAGAACGATCACATGCTTTGCAGATATCCCGGAGTCACCGCATTTGATCCTCCGTGGCCACAAGGAGATTTTTATTCATCATTGGATTTGAACCTGAGACCTCCATTTTTCAGCTCATCAGTAGCAGAAAATTACATAAGATACATCATTAAATTTTAGAATTATCTTGTATCTGAGTAAATTCAGCTCGCTCTTTTATCAGCCGAGCTACTCGTCAAATGATTTTTCTTGTCTTATTATTTTAATTTTATAAGTACCCTATATTTAAAATAGTGTTATAATTTTTTTTTATTAAATAATTATTTGTTTTATTGTAATATCTTGTAACGGTTAATTACGGATAAATTTATGCCGTTTCTTTTATGAAATATCTGTTTTTGACGTTTACTATACAAATGTCTCGATGAATTAGTAGTTATTGTTCTTATTTCTTTAGTACCATCAGTGGTTCATATCTCTGTCATGTTCCTTGTATTATTTACAACTGGTATTCAAGATCTTATTTTTTGCAACTTTAACCGCGGCGGGATATTTAACGCGTTAGCTACAGCACTGCACGGGTTGGTACACACAGCATATGCCATGCAATGGCCCAAATGTACTATTCATATAATTTCTCTTGAATCGAAAATGCAAAGGAATCAGTTGTAGAAGTTTATGTTTTCTTTTTGATTCTTGTAGATTTCGTTATTAAAGAAATGGGTTTAACTGAAACTATCAAATCAGTTCAACTTAGGTTTTCTTTAATAAACTTATTTTCGTTTTAATAATATCAACTACTTTAAACTGTCGGCTACGGATGATAGGACGACACAAAACAATTTTAAGAGAGAATATTAACATCCTTGGTCGTTAGTGATGATTCACACTAATATAAACGAAGGGTCCGTTTACAGAACACTTCCTCGTACGAATGATCATATAGAAATGTGAATAGATTGAAAATATGTATATGTGACGAGCATACACGATAGTGTA